TATTACAATTATATTTCGTATATGGTATAAAGATTGCAAGATTTAGTCTATTCTGGTATCGAAAGTTTTGAAACTTTGATGGTAGTTAAAATTTACTCTACTAAATCTAAAATTATTATACAACATTGCCGAAACTATGTGAAACTTTCTAGCAAATAGTTTACGGAATTTCCAGATATTGTAAACCTGTGACAATGACAATGTACTTAGGTATTTGATGGATTCAACAAACTGAATCATCTTTCTAGTGCAAAACTAAATAATCCTATAATTAATTTTAATTATAAGTAATTTTAAGAAATACAAGATACTAAAAACTAATAATTATCTTTTTAATACAGAACTAAATAATTCTATGACTAAAGTAATTTTGAGAAATACAAGACACTAAAAAAATACAAAATAATTTTATGTTGGCGATCAAGTATAAATATTTATTCGAAAATATTCAAAAATATTGTAATTTTTTCAGTATAAAGTAAATATTGTTGCATATGTCTGAAATACCTACATAAATAAACTTTTTATTAAGAATAGTATCTGGATAATACTGGATAATATTATAATACTCTAATTAGTTTTATAATAGACTCTCTCATATTCGAACTAATGAAGAGATAAAAGTGTCACGTAATGAAATTTTCTGATAATAGAACAATCATTTGCTTGATAAATTGCATATATTAGGTATTTATTATTTATTTTAGTATATAAGAATGTCATATTTTTTTAACCTTTTTAGTATGAGTAAGTACATTCTTTTTGTTCTTCAAATCATTGTTTGTTTTAGCATAAGACACATTCTCGTCATTTCTGTTCGTTATTTCAATTTGTGAAAATATTGTATGTCTACGATATTTTCATCACTCATAAACGAAATGTTGATTTATCACGGAATTTCTCATATTAAATTCGATTGATATTGATTTTTGTAATTTATATCTCACATTTTAATAAATTCTTTTGCTATTATAAAAAATACATTAAACGTATAATATATATAAAATATTTTAATACGAAAGAAAATATCTGAAATAGAAAAAAAAAAAAAATATTCTGTTCAGATGGTAGAATCTTCGGATAGTATGTAAAACGTTAGAGTATTCAGAAAACAGAAATTCGGATACTGTAAGTCTTATAAGTAGAAGTATATAATTCAAATATTAAAACATAAGAAAATAATATGAAATTTAGTACTTACTAGATTAAAAATTCTTATTATAGAATTTTTATTATAATGGACATAATATTTATAATATTTTGTAAAAATATTATAATTATATATTAAATTATAATTATATAAAAAATTGAAATGTTAAAATACAGTTGTTACAATTAAGATGCTTCACCTTTCATAAAGTGATTTCCATTATTAAAATTTTTAAAAATATAAAGAAATTAAGACACTGTGAGAGTATGAAACATTACAATTATCATTTTACAAATGACATTCTTCACCTTTCATGAAATGATTTCCATTATTAAAATTCTTGCAAAAATATAAAGAAATAAACTGTGAGAATATCTCGTTACAATTATCACTTGCAACATAAATATTCTTCAATCTTGCTAAATTTACTTAAATTGTCTATTTACTAATTTCCTACATAAATCCTAACATTCAACATCTCTAAAAACGTGAGAAATGAAAGAAGGAAAATGATTCTAAATTGTTTAACATTGGTAACGTGAAACAATTGTTGGGATGCATGTTGTGGGTGGCTCCTAAATAAAGCGCATGTGCGAGTTTCAGCGTTTCGTTTGAGTCGACTCCGCCTACGCTAGGCTAGTGATACATGCGTTTTCTCTTTTGGCTAGTTACACGCGCACGCGACACTTTCGTCCGCCCCAAAGGTGAATCGTCCTTTAAACCACCCACACTTAGGCACTATCCACACGGTCTCTTTTACTCCCACCATGCGACTGGTGGTGTTACATGAAACCGGCACGCGCGCATGAATTTCATTCATGCTTTCGAGCTGCACGTATACGTGCTCGCTATACGCGCTCTTCTCAAATGAACTGACAATAAGAAAAACTATTCGACCAATTCTCTTCATTATCTCAAAATAGAATCATTTCAGGAACCTAATCTACACCTTGATATCAAGGTTAATAGGGTAGTCCTACCCTACCTGGAAGGATAATCCATCTTTCTACTTGACAAAATCTATTTTTATAGCTTCAAGAATTTTTCATTTATTTCGAAGTGAATTGCAATTTGATATATTCAACCTCTTGTTCTTCTTAAAAATGAATTATTATCACTTGAAAAATTTTCGTTTTTGTTTTTATATTTTTTAGGATGTTCGC